GCAAGATTTATGACCGTATTTCTCGAGCTTGGCAGTTGGATGATGGGTGGACTTCAACTCCCAGAGGGGAATTCTGGGAGTTGGTCCATCCATCTTCTACTTGCCAAGGTTGAGAATCATTGGTCCAACGATGGACCAACAGAGCTATTGACTGTCCTCAGCTGTGGCCCTTCAAAGGTAGACCACTCCTGGCCACTGACGGTCTTGAATTTAGCCCCTTCATCTTTGAGGTTGCATTGGTCAGACATTCCCTCCCTCTGTCACTAAGGGGCACAAAACCCCTCCTCCCCCCCCCTGCTTTCCCTGCTTATCTCAATGTCCGTCCTGCACCCTCTCTGGGATCTAGAATAGTAATCTGAATTTTACAATCAGCTTAATTTTACTGTCACTTTGCCCCCCAAACTGGCTGGGGGCTGGAAAAGCTCACCTGTGTAGGAGCCAGGTCAGGCCAGCAGGGGGCGATGGAGTCCACCATTTGCCAAAGCAGAGAGGAGGAATGGACAGTTGGAAAGCAAAGTAATCCATCCTTTAAGACAGTGGTTCTCAACCTTTTTAATGCCGTGACCCCAACCGGTCGTAAGTCGAGGACTAAACCAGTCGTAAGTCGAGGACTAAACCGGTCGTAAGTCGAGGACTAAACCGGTCGTAAGTCGAGGACTAAACCGGTCGTAAGTCGAGGACTACCCAACCGGTCGTAAGTCGAGAACTTTCCCTGCCCGGGAGCGCCACGCATGCGTGGTTCCGCCCCCTGCGCCGGCCGAGGCGTAGCCGGCAAGCGGCAGAGACGGAGCAGGCCGACCACCAGGTGGCCCAGCCCAAGGGAGGTAAGGCACCCGCCGGAAAAGGGAAAAAAATGGCGGACAAAAAAAAATGGCGGACAGCCTTGCTTGGCGACCCCCATGAAATGGTCAATCGACCCCAAATGGGGTCCCGACCCACAGGTTGAGAACCACTGGTTTAAGAGGACCTGGGTGGGTGGGTGGACTCTTGCTTCCATCATCCCCGACCACGGATCTGCCTCCCTGCCCAGGAGCATTTTCCATTTGTTTGTTTGTTTTTCTATAATTTTATTTATTTACATCCTGGCTTTACTATTATTATAAACAACTCAAGATACCAAAATACGTACTCCTTCCTTCTATTTTCTCCAGCACAGCAACCCAGTGAGGTGGGCTGGGCTGAGAGAGAGGGACTGGCCCAAAGTCATCTGGAGGCTTTTATACCTAAGATGGACCAGAACTCCTAGTCTCCTGGTGATTGGCCCAAAGTCACCCAGCTGGCATCCATGCCAAAGTCTCCAGGGTTGCTAGTCTGGTGCCTTCACCACCAGATGAAACTGGCTTTCCTTCTACTGTAGATCCCCTAAGTCCAGATGTTTTTCACTCCCTGCAGCCAGTCTAAGAGGACGGCGGGCTCTGCGGGAGAGAAGCTAAATCAGCATCAAGGGCTCGTAAACTTCATCTCTTAACTTGGAGAATGGTGCCTTAAGATGATCGGGCTTCTTTGGAGCAAGCTGATGGGAGATACTGCCCATAACACACACACACACACACACACACACACACACACACACACCCCACCCCACACCCCTGGTGTTTCTGGGAGCATGGAGGAGCTGGTGGTGTGGCAGGCAAGTTGGGCACTGATGGGTCTAGAGAGAGACGTCCGTGAGACAGATGTTGAGGGCCCAGCCCGGTCACCCAGCCTTAGCAGAGCCACCTCCTGCCACGTGGCCCTCCCAGCCAGCCAGGTGATCTGGGGCCATTTGCTCCCCCTTCCGTGCAGTGAGGGGGTCCCTCGTTTGTCCCCCTGCAGTTGGAGGTGGCCTTGGCCGACGTCAAGAAGCAGCTTCAGGACGAAATGCTGCAGCGAGTGGATGTGGAGAACAGGATGCAGACCCTGAAAGAGGAGCTGGACTTCCAGAAGAACATCTACAGCGAGGTGAGTCCCAGAACGCGGAAGGGTCCCTTAGAGGTCACCTAGTCCAACCCCTTCTAGGGTAGGAATCCTACACCGCCTTGGCTTGAAAAGTGACTCTGCTGTTTCATAGCTCTCATAGCCAGGAATTCCTCCTTGAGTTTGGGTCCCCCTCCATAAAACGCCCACCCGTTGGCCCTAGAGAGAGTAAATTCCTTCCTTTTCTAAAATAAATTTCATTGTAAAATAAAAATACAGAAAAAACAAAAGTTAGAAAACAGACACAGAGAGAAAAAAGTGGCGACTTCCAACTTTTTCAGGGCGGTGACATACAACCGCCCCCCCCCCGAGCTTTACGCTTCACGTTTCAGGCCATTTCAGTAACCACAGAACCATCCTAATCACCAGAACCTAAACCACAGAGAGTCGGTCTCCATGGGCTGGGAGACGGAAGTCGCCACCCTGCGTTGGGGCAGGCAGTCAGCCCAATTCCTGCACTGGGCGGCCTTTTCTCCCCACATCTCCCCACAGAGGAGCTGTGGCTGGAGGGGGCAGGTCACGGTTGGGGGGAGTTGTGCCTTCTTGCCAGTCCTGGGATGCCCTGCTCACCCACTGCCCCGCTGCCCGCAGGAGCTCCGCGAGACCAAACGTCGCCACGAGACGCGCCTGGTGGAGATCGACAGCGGGCAGCAGCATGATTTCGAGAGCAGGCTGGCCGATGCGCTGCAGGACCTCCGCGGCCAGCACGAAGCCCAGGTCAATCTCTACAAGGACGAGCTGAAGAAGACCTACATGGCCAAGGTAGCGCACCTGGGGGGTTGACTCTACTCCCATCATCCCCAAGCTGGCACACTTTGGCCAAGGGCTGTTCTGCTGCCCCCCCCTTGAGATGTTCTCAAGGTCAGATAATCCCACCTGGTCTTCCTCACCTGCAGTTTAAGAGGACGGCGGGCACTGGGGCAGGATCGGGGCCTTGCTAAGCCAGGCTCCTAGCCTGGGGAAAGGAAGCTGCCTGAAGGGGGGTTCCCTGGGTTGGGGGACAGGGGCACCCCACTCCTGCCCTGCAGAGCAGCCCAGGGCAGCCTTGAGGACCGGCCACTTTGAAATAAGCCAAACTCTGCCATCTCCAGAACGCTATTTCTAATCTTTGCAGCTGGAAAACGCCAAGCAGTCGGCCGAGAGGAACAGCAGCATGGCAGGGGCGGCTCACGAGGAGCTTCAGCAGACCCGGATTCGCATCGACAGCTTGTCCGCCCAGCTCAGCCAGCTGCAGAAGCAGGTAGGGGTCTCCCGGGGGAGGGTGGAGGTGGGGAGGGGGCGCTGGTCTCCCACCTGCTCCGACCACCGTTTGGTCTCCAGGTGGGGAAATCACACCTTTTGTTTCACAAGCAGGAAGCGCCGCCCAGGTGCTTCAATTCACTTTATGGTACCTGTTTCTGGGTCTCCCTTTGAAGATTTTCGGTGGTTTACAGGTAGTCCTTGACTTACAACCATTTGTATAGCGACCGTTCAGTGTTACAGTGGCACTGAAAAAAAAAGTGACTTAAGAGCAGTCCTCACACCTATGAGTGTTGCGGTGTCCCTTCAGTCACATGATCAACCGGTCTGGATTTACAATGGTTGCAGCATCTGGGATCACTTGATCACCATTAAGGACCTTCCCAGCTGGCTTCCAACAAGCAGAGTTAACGGGGGAAGCCTTAATGACTACATGATTCACTTAATGACCTTGCAGATCTCCCTCCCTCTGTGAAGCCCCCGCTGATCCCTCCCGGATGGGGGTCTGCTCGCCTGGCTTTTCGTCCAGGCACCCACCCCTCTCTTGCCTTCCTCCCCACCCAGCTGGCGGCCAAGGAGGCGAAGGTGCGGGACCTGGAAGACATTCTGGCACGGGAGCACGAGACCAGCCGCCGCATCCTGGCAGATAAGGAGCGGGAGATGGCCGAGATGCGGGCCCGCATGCAGCAGCAGCTGGACGAGTACCAAGAGCTGCTTGACATCAAATTGGCCTTGGATATGGAGATCAACGCCTATCGAAAATTGCTGGAGGGCGAGGAGGAGAGGTGGGGGCCAGTGGCCTGGGCAAACTTTGCCGTCCCCTGCAGAGCCCGACCGGTGAAGCTAGGCAGACCTTGGCCTGGGGGCCTCCACCAAGCTGGGGCTGGGCAAGGGGCCCCCCATAGGCAGTCTGGGACCTTCAGGTGCTGGAAAAAGGTTGCCTCTCTCATTGAGGCTTCAGTGCACAGAATGTGTTCAGGTTCTTATTGGATTTGGACAGATCTGGGGTTTGCCCAGCAAACCCCTCCTTTGGGGGGACCATTTTGGGGCCCTCCTAGGACAGGTTGGGCAGACCCTTCAGGCGGAAAGATCACTTTGGCTTGAGCGCTTCTCCTAGCATGGAGGGTGGGCAGCGCAGCCCTCCTGGAACAAAACCTTCTGTTTGCTGTGGGGAGCACAGGTGCATCCATGGGGAGGCAGCAGCCTCTGCCTCAGCCCCCCGCCTCTCTTTTTTTCCCACCAGGTTGCGCCTCTCCCCCAGCCCCTCCTCCCAGAAGAGCGGCTCGCACATCCGTGTCACTTCTTCCGCCCAAAGCTCCACCAAGAAAAGGAAGCTGGCGGACAGCGAGAGCCACACCAGTTTCTCCCAGCATGCCCGGACCAGAGGCCGCGTGGTCGTGGAGGAGGTGGACCTGGAGGGCAAGTTTGTCCGGCTGAGGAACAAGTCCAACGAGGTGGGTGCCGGTCGTGGCAGGTTGCCGGTCCAGAACCCCTGGGCCAAAGGGGGCTGAGGAAACCATTTGGTGCTGGTATCAATGTGAATCTAGGATTTCTTTGATTTCAAAATGTTGTTGACCCTCTATCTGCATATCTGCATATCTGCATGACAAAGTCGCTCGGATTCGAGAAGGTCTTGACTCTGACTGGGTGGCCCTGGGGGAGGAGACAGGAGCAAGTCTTGAGACTGTTATATGGGATGAGTTTGACTCTGTGGCTCCCGAGGACGTGGACAGGATTCTGGGGAGGCTGAATGCAACCACATGCTTACTGGATCCGTGCCCCTCCTGGCTGGTACTGGCTGCCCGGGAGGGGACATGAGCCTGGCTCCAGGGAATTATAAACGCTTCTTTGGGGGAGGGCGTCTTCCCCACGGCCTTGAAAGAGGCGGTGGTGAGGCCCCTCCTTAAGAAGCCTTCCCTGGACCCAGATGTATTAGCTAACTATCGTCCGGTCTCCAACCTTCGCTTTGTGGCGAAGGTTGTTGAGAGTGTGGTTGCGCAGCAGTTCCCCCGACA